TTGTCTACTGCAATGTTCCAATGTCCAGACAAGGTTTTTAGAAAATAAAGCAGGATCAGGTTTATTTCCCCTGCAGAGAAAATTTGTGTCTAGAATCAGAGGTTCTCGTGCCTCAGATCATATTCCAGCCCCAGTATAACAGACATCCAAACCTTTTATACCTAAGGCAGAACTTAACTGGTTAACTAACACATTGAAATCCTTCAAGACAATAACTGCAGCACACATCACAAAAGCATCTATAGAAAACAGGATGTATATTATATAATTAATTTTGGTAACACAATTGAATTTCTGTTAGCGGATATTCCAATTTAAACATTTTCCTCTCAAATTAAGTTTCCCATAGGATTTTAACAACTGACAATACAAGAATACATATCTTTTCTATGTCATCAAAAGCAGAACTAATATTGCTCATGAGAATAGGATGCTGGGACCTGCAGTTGGGAAAAACATTTCCTTTTGGTTAGAAAAACAGGATATTCTTTCTTAAGGCAGAAAGCGATAAGTAATTTGCAATTTCAGCAAAAAGTTTTTACATATAAAAATGCCTCATCATTAATTTTTTCATTCCACGATTCATCAGCAGATATCAAGAGCAGGTTGGAGGAGCCACAGGGCCTAAGCTGACCCCTAGCTCTCCCATGGCCCTTGGGGTGGACATTGTCCTGTTCAGTGTAGAGGAAAGGAAAAGGGGGGGTCTCCATCTTCTCCCTGGTTTGTTGTTGTTAACCACCTCCTCTGCCCTGCTTAGGTCCTGTAAGTTCATACCCATAATCTCCTTAATAAAGTCCATCCATCTAGCATGCAGTCTTCCCTCTTTCTGCGGCTCTGTGGGTCGGCTCTGTTCCTTCTCTGCATACGTTCCCTCTTCCTCACTGACCTCCTCTCAGAGAGACAGTGGATCTGGGTCTAGGAAGGACCAAGAGGGAGAGAAGACAAGGGCTTCCATGTCAAATGATGCTCCCAATAACTGCTGTGGCTTCCTAACTCTGGATGGATCTGCATGCTGCGTTTCTCCTCTTCTGAACAGATGCACACAGGATCTTCTACAATTGCTCCTTTGACAGCATAAAGTTGTTCAGCAACACAATAACTCTTTCAGGCTCCCAAAGACATAAACACACAATCATGAGTTGCACAGATCTTTCCTCTGTCACACATACAGGGATGCTCCTTAGGATTCTCCTTCTCTCCTTCCTTTCCTCCTTCCTCATGGCTTGGAATGCCTTCTCTGCCATGTAGACTAAATCCCATCACATTTCTGGGTGACCATTGTGTCCAGCCAAGGAAAGTCAAGCTGGGAAGTTCCTCCATCCTGCCTGCAGAACCTGGAATTGCCATGTGAAGTCAATGGGGCAAGGCATCCCCTCTGTTGTGTCGCCCTCCACTCCAAGGGATCTGTCCAAAGTGCTGAACTCTCCCCCCAAATGCCTTCAGCCCCTTGGAGAGCCATTCTGCTGAAGGCACAGGCGTGCTCTGGGAAGAAGCTGAGGTTAACTTCCCCCTCCCCAGATCTCAATGGCCTCTCCTAATGTTGACCTTGGATTGCCTTTCTTATCATTTCCATCTATTGAGTTTATCATGGGGGGGTGAAATTGGGAGTTTAAACATGGTTTGTCCAAGTTACCTACAGGATTGCTTTCTCCCGTACAATCTGCCCCAAACACTGAGGTCCTCTGGGAGGAGGCTGCTACAGCCTGCAAGAACTTGACTGGCAGCCATCACCCAGAGGACCTTTTCATCGGCTGCCCCAAGATTGTGGAATGACCAGCCAGAAGAGATCCGACAGCTAGATCAGCTGTTAGACTATAAAACACATTTGAAGACCCATCTTTTCCGGCAGGCCTAGCCAGGTAGTTTTAATCATGAATTTTAAACATGAATTT